TTTAAGTTTAACTTTGAGTTGTACAGAGCACTGAAGGTTAACAAAACGGAATTGCTAATGAAGGATCTTGGGCTTTTCTTCCGGGAAGGCACTGGAAAAGTAGTCTTGGGTACGACTTGGTATTAGATTTACTGCTGCTCACTGTACATGCCTGGTATCTGTAAATGGTTTTGGTTCCTCATAAATGACTAAGTTACATTTGCATTCTGTGCTCTGAGTAGGTGCTGTGACTTACTCTTGTGGGAATTTCTCTTGTACATCTTTTTGTTTATATTGTAGTTTGTGAAAAGTTGAAGACTTGGTTCCATTAAGTTAAAACGCAAGGCAGGAAAGAGCGGGGACTGCCCGCATGGCGTGTTTTGTTCTGTTCCCGGTGCAGCGCCCTGTGGAAGTGACCAGATGTCTCCTGTGAGCCTGGCCCTAGCCGCCTTACAGCAGTGCAGGAGGCCTGCAGGGCGGACAGGGAGGCATCACTCCCCGCGGAGGGCTGGCCCTGAGCCCTGACTACTGCGGCTCCTAAGTCCTGCCACAGGTTCAAGAAGCTGACTTTCGGTCCTTCGGAGCTGAGCCAGCCAGGCAGAGGGGCGAGCCAGACAATCACACAAAGCAAAGCGCCACTTTGTCTGGGATCTAGTTGGAAGGGTTTGCTAGAGCAGGGATTCGTGGCCTTTGCTACAGAAAGTCATGCCCTGGGGAGCTTTACTAACTTCTGTGTGGGTTCCCCCTGCAGAGATACTGACCAAACTAGTCTGCAGTGGTCTGGACTTGGCTTGTTCAAGATGAGGCGGTGGTTCTTATGTGCTGCTAGGATGAGACCCACTGTGGGGTGGACAGCCCCAAGTGAGGGATGTCTACCCTGGAGGACACAGATGGTCCTGAGTTCTTTCTGATGGGGATGTTTGTAGTTGGGGGCTTTAAGTCGTCTGGTGCTGTCACTATGTACTTTCTGTTTAAACCAATTTTAAACCTAAAGATGATTATTTCCCAGATTGCTCTAAGAATCAGACACAGTGACAATTGGAGATGCTCTGGGAGTTGTAAAGCTCTGTGGAAATATAAGATCAGAGTGGGGAGCAGAACAGGCAGATCAACAAAGTATACTGCTGACGGGAGCAGCGGGCAGGTCAGGAGAGTTCTGCCACGCCCTGTGGGTCACCTCCGGGGCAGGAATCAAACTCACACTGAAGCACCTGTGTCTAGCTTGCAGTGCTGCATCCTAACACATTGCGCCACCAGGGAGGGCCAATGTAAGATGCTCTTACTGGTTTCATACCATTAATAATTTGTTTAACTGACATTTATCAATGATGACTATTATAAGTCAGCCTGGGGTCAGAGCTAAGAATTTAAAACAACAACAATCCTTTCCCTCAGAAGATGCCACTGTAGTGAGAGAAGCACCACATTCATGCAAAGAAAGAACTTGTGTGTGATGTGGCATCACCATGGAGATGGTACGCGGCGGGCATGGCTCCTCATGTGCTCACCCCATCTTGAGTTTACAGGAGAAAGGTGGACAGTGTGAGTCTGGACAGCTCTGGAAGCCTGTGTGCAGAGCTTTGGGGAGTGTGGGGTTCCTGGGAGGCATTGCCTGTGCTTTGCCGGCCTTGGCAGGCCTTTGAGGATTATGAGGATGACACTAGTGGCTTGGATGGAAGGGGAGAGGGACACGTGAAGATCGTCGGTTTATGAAGGTGATGTCTGCATAGTGTAGCGATTTTTAGAAATGTATTTCTCCCCCCAGACTGGCTAGCTGTTCTGGAGAGGAGAGGGGAGGTTGGAGCAGAGACGGGAGGTGAAGGCAAGGGGCAGTCAGTGGTGGGGAAGAACTCATACTTGGGAGTCAGGTGTGGATTGGATTTCTTTCCACTACTTCTCATGTGTGGCATTGGGCAAGTTGATCGGCTTCTGTGAGGTTCATTATCCATAAAATAGTGATGGGAGGATTTGGGGGGAAGGTGGCATTAGTCAGAGGGAATGTGGAGGAACCCTCAGCAGAGTTCCCTGCATGCTGTTGAGTGGACTCTGGTGATCGCTGTAAGCAAGAGAAGCGGACGCAGTTGAGAAGCATTATTGGGAGGGCAGGTGACGGGTCAGCGCACCTTCCAGTTTGGGAGCAATAAATTCTGGAGTCACGAACGGGCCGAAAAGTTATCCATTGAAAAAACAGGGTCAAGAGACTGGCAGCCTCTGGGAAGGAGCAGAGTGGCTTGGGAGAGGGGGAGCTTGAATTAGGAGAGAAAGGTGTATGGTTAGCCGAGATTTCCAAGATCAGAATTTCACTGAGCATTCAAATAAGCAACTACCTTTTAAGTTGTCATGGTCCTTATTTGACATTTTGTGTTCTCAATTCATACCCATTTTAAATTTTAAAGATCACCTTTTTTTTTTCTTTCCTTAAATAGGAATTTGAATTTGTTGATGGCTCACTTTTGAAATTGAAAAGTTATATTGAAGTTTATTTGGAGCAACCGATGGAGTTTAAATTAATTTTGGTTGAAACGGATTCCGAGGAAATTGTGTGGACAGCAAAACTAAGAGAATGTAAGTGTTTTGTAAGTTGAACAAAAACTCTGGGTTATAGATGCTGGGTTGTGGACACTGGTGGGTGTAAAGCTATCAGGGCGCTTGCCCAGGCTGAAAATCTGAGAGGTCCCTGGCAGGGCCTCCGGACTGAGGGCTCGTCTGGGTCTCAGGCACCCACATCCCATCCCCTGGAGTCAGCCATGGCCCTGCGAGTCGGGGAGGCTGACACTGTGTGTGGACTCAGCCCATGGAGCGTGTTGCTTCACGCTGCTGGAAGCTGGGAATCGGGCCATCAAGACTCCGTCTCTTCTGTGACCTGGGCCACGTGCATTTGGCTGAGCGCATGTCTGACTTGCCTGGCTCCCCTTGTGGCCGTTAGCTGAGAGCTCCTGCTCTCTGATCACAGCTCCCCTGTCTGCCCCACCACCCCGCTTAGTATTTGGGGAGCCCTCCTACAAGCACCCCTCCCGTATCCTCCTCTGCCCCAAGAGGAGGAGGCGAGGGCGGTGGCCTGTGGGCTGATTCTGGGAAGGAGGGGCCTGGGGACTCCTCCTTTCCAGGCAGGGCTGACCTTGAACTCCATTCTGTTTGGAGGAAGTTTTTCCGCCAGTTATGCAAGGACTGCTTCTATTAGGGTATGTGAATATTTTGGAGCCCAGAGAGAGGCAGAAGCCTGGGGCTATCGGCTCTTTGTGGGCATGTGGGCCCCTCTGCCAGCTTGGGGCTGCAGTAGCCTCACCCCATTGGCCCCGAGGCCCCTGCATTTGTATCTGTTGGGTGCGTGTGGATTTGCTGGTGATGCCTCGTGCCGGTGCTAAGATTGTCTCTCCGTGACACACGTTATGTTCCCTAGAGGCCTGGCTTTTGTTTCCTGGGTATAAAGATAAGCTAGGAAGGACAATCTAATCATGGGATTTTTCAGTCATAGTTTAAAAGGAGTCTTTTAAATTTTTTTATTATTTTTAAAATATATTCATTACATCATTCTTCACTTTTGTATGATGTATGGTTGCCCATGAAACCCCCACCACGATTCACCCAAGCACCATCCCTGTCACCCCTTGTGCTCTTCCCACCCCTGTCTTGGCCCTTTTCCCTCTTCCTCCTCTGCAGTATGTCTCTGATCTGTAGTTGCTTGATCATTTTGATTTTTTTTAAAGAATTATTTATGCACACAAAACTGGGGTACAGACCAGAAGGGCAGGGGCGGTGAGAGGCTTCACCAGAAACAGAGTGGGGAGCAGAACAGGCCTACTGAAGAAGTACACTGCTGAGGGGAGCAGCGGGCGGGTCAGGAGAGGTCTGCCACGCCATGTGGGTCACCTCCCTGGGTGGGGGATTGAACTCGCACTGAAGTGGCTGTGGCCAGCTTGCACTGCTGCGCCCTAACCCGTGTGTCATCAGGGAGGGCCCTGATATTGATTTTTACTTTATCATAGTTACTTTGTTTTTTCGGATTCCTTACTTGGTTTCACTACATTCCACCTATAAGTGAGACCATTCGATATTTTTCTTTTGCTTCCTGGCTTACTTCACTGAGCATAATCCCTTCCTGTTCCATCCATGTTGCTACAAAGGGCATAAGTTATCCTAAAAAGAGCCTTAAAAAAAATATATATATATATATATTCTAGATATGATTGATTCTTATTCCCAGTATTCCACCTTAAAGTGGGTCCATTTGTCCAAGCTAAAATTACTTGCCGGTAAAGGGTCCTCCTTGGGATTCTCAGTGTTGGGAATTAGATCATTTTTCTTGGTATTCATTAATTTTTTTCAAATAAAGGACTTTGAAAGATGTTACTTTTTAGTCACAGGGAAGTAGAGTATTTAGTCATAGTCAATAGTAATTGAATACACGGTACTGGGATAGCAGATAGTCTTGGTAGTTTTAAAGGCCACATTATAAGGCCTCTTAGTATTTTTTTTTTTAAACATCTTAGTTAATACTCTGCAGAGTAAGATATTTATGATTCTATTTTTGGGGAGGTGGGGGTGGGTGGCTTAAGCTAATCAGTGCTTAATTTAGGTTAGTCATCACTACGAAGAGACCTAAGGAAACCATGCACGAGACATAAGCATCTGTTGCAGCAGGGGCTAAATTTAAAACACGTGATTTCAAATCACCATGAAGTCTCCAGGAAGGAGTCCCTAGCTACTGTGTTTACCAACATACAGAATGTTGATAGATGAAACAAGTTTTGGAGAAGCAAATATATTTCTTTTTAGGATATGAAATACATATTTTTTAAGGATAACTCATGCCCTTTGCAACAACATGGGTGGAGCAGGAAGGGATTATGCTCAGTGAAATAAGCCAGGAAGAAAAAGAAAAATATCGAATGGTCTCACTTATAGGAGAAATGTAGTGAAACCAAATAAGGAATCAGAAAAATACATACATACATACATTTAAAATGAAAAAGTGTTTATTTTCATTGCCACCTTTTCCACATGGCAAGTCATTACTAGTGTTCTGTTTTCAATAGTTGTATTGAGTAGCCTCTCAGTTGGCACAAGGGTGTGGCAGAAATCATGACAGTGTTTATGTAGATGACATAAGAGGGGGAACACTTGCCTTGCAAGATGTGTTAGAAGGAATACTTGTATTTGGAGAGATTGCCAAAACTCTAGAATTGTATGCACTTTCTCAAATAGATTTCTTTAATTCAAACTTTACATCACTTACCCTGACTGGTGCTTATGTGTTAACAGGTGACTGGGTTCAACATGATCAGAACCGAAACATCTCGAAAAGAAACACAAGTGGTAAGTGCTTGTGGCTGGATGTTAGAAAAGTTTTAACTTGTGCTTCTATTCCTCCCACTTACTAGAATTATTTTGCCCCACAAATGTTGAGACAATAAGAATCTGTTAGGTATGTGACAACTCTTAAGCATCTGAACAACCTTTTGAGTTCTTCCTCATTTTGATTCTATTTGAAAGATGGATTTAAAAAAAACACAGATTAAAACCGGGCATATACAAAGAAATAAAAGGGGAAACCAATATGTTGATTTATTTTTTTTAAGGTAACAGACGCCGAAAAATGAGTAGCAGCTTACCTGACGAGGAGGTCTATGATAAAAGGATGAAGCGGATTGACAATTCAGGTTTGTAAAGGGACCATCAATGGCTGTAAGTTTTCTCCAGCGCCTCCTGCAATATTCATCCAACACACTGCTGTAGGCTCATTCTTCCCAGAGGCTCGTCCCAGATGTGCCTGCCCTCACGTGATGCCTGTCTTCCAGCTGCGCAGGCCTAGAGGGGCTCCTCCGTGGTGGGCTCTGCCTGCTTTTCCACTCCCTTCCCCTCCACCCTTCCCATACTCTGAGCAGAGTGGGTGACCTGAGGATCCTCGCAGTCCTCACACATGGGGACACGGGCCGCCCAGTTCCCACAGTCCTGAATGTGGAAGAAGTAGTGAATGAGATTGCGCATTGTGCTCCACTGAGTCCCAGTTACTAGCTACTTCTGGGATGCAAAGAACCACGTTTCCAAATAACTGGCTGAGGCCAAAGATCAGTAATTGTGAAAATGCAAGAGATTTAAAATATTTAACATCACTTAACGAACCCAAAATTTAAGGCCAGGTACAATTCTCAATGCTAAGTTTAAAAATGCAGGCTCAAATTATATGAGACAAAACCTTGGACTGCATATAACTCCCCAAGTTAACCCTTTCATCTCAAATGTCCTGTTACTGTGTTTCCTATTATTATAAGTTATGAATCTCTAACAGCAGACAAAGATTCTCTAAAAAGGGAAATAAGATACTGTCTACTTTTTAGAGCACGAGGCTGTATGTATGATTTTGTCAAATATCACTGGAAATATTTACTTTTATTATTTTTAAAAAGAGATTTATTTACTTATGCATACAGAACTAGGGTACAGGCCAGAGGTGCAGGTACAGGGGAAGTGAGAGAATTCACCAGGGAATGGGGAGCAACACAGGCAGATCGAAGAAGCACACTGCTGAGGGGAGCTGCGAGCGAGACAGGAGAGGTCTGTCATGTCATGTGGGTCCCCTCCCTGGGTGTGTGTGTGGGGGGGATCAAACTTATGCTAAAGTGGCTGCATCTGGCTTCATGGTGATGTGCATTGACCTGTTGCACCACCAGGGAGGGTCCTATTTACTGTTATTTTTAAGTGAGCATCAAAAAAAGTGAGGTTCCGGAATTATTTTTAAAATCAAACTAAGTTGGGATACATTTTTTCCAGTTTTATTGATGACTTGATATATGTCCGCATCGTGAAAAATTTACCAATCAAGTTAATGAACACATCCATCACCACACATAGCTACTTGTTTTTGGTTGGGAATACTTAGCATCTACTCTCTATTCAAATGTTAAGTGTGTAGTATATATTATTGACTGTAGACATCATACTGCTCATTAGCTCTCCAGAACTTAACCATTTTAAAATGGAGTGGGACCAATTTTATATTAAATTGATTGATAGAACAAGTTTCCTGATTGCATGCTATTATTTGATTATTTACAATTAGATCCTAGAACAAGTAACCAAAAGTTATCAAATACTAGCTGAAAGATGAAGGATTCCCAACCTTTTTGGATTTGAAAATGTGATATCTAAGCCCATTAATAAAGATTTATTTTTGTTTAAGTATTTTTGCAACATCCTTTGAGCTATGGAGTCACTAGGCTGCTAGTTTCAGATTCAGTATATCACTGTGCTGTTTTTGAAAATCTGATTAGCACTCAACAGAATCACTTTGAAATTTTTATTAGAATTTAGGGTCAGACTCTGATGTCAGTTAGACTATCTCAGGATAGTCCTGAGAACTTAACATTTTTGCTGGTTCTTTTGAGATATATCCTGAGCAAGTGACCGCGTATCAGGAGCCCACTAGGGGGCGTGGGTGTTACTTCCGCATCTGTGTCTTAATGAAGAAGGTGGAGCGCACTGAATTGGGGACCAGCCGAGTGCAGAGGCTGGTGGTGGGAGATGGAGGTGTTGCATCCTGGAGGAAGGGCAGGGGGTCCTCTTCTCTCTCACTGCCTTCGGGTCTTACCTCCAGTATTTGTAATACCTTGAGGAGCCTTTCCCAGACTGCTGCCAGAGAGCTTTGCTGCACCTTTGCACTGCCAGCAAAGACACCGAAAGTAGAATTGAGCCTAATGATAGGGCTGATGTTTTTATAGGGCAGTGGTGGCCGCTGGCTGGCCTAGGCCCACCAGGATTATGATGCTGTTTCCTAGAGGTCACCAGATGTTACAAATACTTTTCTGTAGAACGTGCTTTCCCTCTAATACCAGGAGGTGGCGTAAGGGAGACTACCTCGGGTCTCCTGTTGTCCCTGTAGTGCTCCACGAAATAGTTACCTGAGTGTGGCTCTGACATTTGAGCATAAACCCAGAGCTGGGCAAGGTCAAAGCTCCGTATTTTTCTTTTTGAGCCACATAACATTTGTGCTGTCTTTTTTTTTTTTTTTACTCCGACCTAATCTAGGCAGCTCTGTAAGACAGTATCTTTCCCCGAATTATTGAACTGCTACCATTATACTTTCAATCTAATGTTCTTATTTGACATAATTCCCTTCAGCCATTATTGGGAAGCAGAGATTTTAAGATCAGTTAAAGATCTTGGCCCCCCCCCTCTTTTTTTTTTTAATCTAAACTGAGTAATTTCTCACTGTGAATTGCTATAAATGACTGAAGAGTCAGGAGGAACTAGTGAGTTCTCATCTGCTTGTAGATGGAGTGAAGACCAGACCGTGGCTCACAGACGCTCAGCTGATCACCCTTGCTGAGAAGTTGGGGGACGAATGGATAAAAATTGCAATTGCCAACCTGGAGTTGGAGATCAGCGATATTGATGCTATCCAGGAGAAGAAAGAAGATGTTACCATCTGTAAATTTAGGATGTTGAAGAAGTGGCAAGAAAAGGAGCAGGGTAAGGCCACGGCCCAGGCCCTGTATAGCCGCTTGAAGAGTGTTGTTTCTACGGAAGCTCAGGCCGAGCTGGAAGGTGAGCGGGAAGCAGCTTCGTGTTGGGGCCCCGGCTGTGTCTGTGGACAGCAGACTGCTGTAGGAAGTGTCGCTTGATAATCCAGGAGTTTGGGTTCAGACAGATGTGCCCTGCAGTAGGCGGGCTGCCGTCATTTCAGTAAAGGTGATACATGGCCCTGGACTCTGAAGAAGGACCCAGGCCTGTGGGTTCCTATGAGCTGGCCACTCCGGAGAACGGTGACCTACTTGCTATCTACAAACCACAGCAGAGCATACCTTGACCACCTTCAGAGCATAGCCCGTATCAGGAGGCAGGTCTGGGGATGCCTAGCCCGTTGCTGACTGTCTCCATGGCAGTCTCCAGATAACTCTGCCTGTGATAACGTCATACTTTGCTGATGCAAATGTCTGTTCACACTGGTCACGGTGTCCCCTCCCCGGCCCCTTGTAAAACTTTGCCCCCGCCCTTCCTACCCCTTCCTCCGGACCCCATTCGTCATACCATTGTCACATGATTAGCTTATTCTATACTATCCTGTATGATATCAATGGCCCACGGACTTCTGCTCAAGCAGCAGAGTCTTGCCTTGCAAACCTGCTCCACCACCTTTGTGTCACTCATCACATTCCTGCCGCCAAGTGGCAACACAGGCCCAGCTCATGTTCTAGCTGGTTGGACCTCTCTGTCCCCATCCGTCAAATGGGTGACACCACCCTCCCCGGAAGATGAGGCCTGTGAAGGGCCAGAAGTAACCGTCATGCACTTGAGAGGGGGACCCTTGGGCCCTTGGGCACTGGGTGACCGGGGAGCCTCCAGTGGCAAAGAGGGACGGGAAGAAGCGGAGCCCACAGAGGCAAAAGGAGTCAGTTCTGGTCTCAGTCCAGAAAGTGACAGGCTGCTGCCGTTGTTTTAAACACTTCCTGTTCTGTGCCTCGAGTTAGCACATTGTTAAACCCAGGGTCCAACCAATTCGAAAGTTTATTATTATACATGGCTACCATTGCTAAAAAAGGGGTGTTACTTCTCGGAAGCCTCACTGAATACCAGGGGTTTTATTTGGAATTCTACTTAGATTTTTCTTTTAAAGATTTTTATTTATTTCTGCTTCCAGAACTGGGGTACAGGCCAGAGGTGTGATGGGTGAAGGGATTCATCAGAGACAGAGTGGGGAGCAGAGCAGGCAGATCGACAAAGTACACTGCTGAGGGGAGCAGCGGGTGGGTCAGGGGAGGTCTGCCACGCCATATGGTCACCTCCCTGGCTGGGAATCGAACTTGTGGTACAGTGGCTTTGGTGAGCTTTATAACGCGGTGCCTTAACCCATTACACCGCTAGGGAGAGCCCCTCTACTTAGAATTTTTTAGCCCCTTAAAGGGTGTGGAAGGCTGTGAATGCATGAATAGAAGCACAGGTGTTCTCCCCGGGTGCTGCCAGCCTTCTGGAGGGGCAAGCCTGAGAGTCCCACCTGGTCTGTGTATGCAGAAGCCCTGGGCAAGTAGAGTAGCTGGTCCTGGTACCAAGTTTCTCCTTTATGCTCTTGGGTGTAAGGATAGAATGTAAACGGCTGGGCCCGCCTGTGGGAATCTGCTTATTTGACACGGGCACTTCTGCCTATTGACAGGAGGGTGAGGAGGGTCAGAGGAAGGCCTGGCCCGGAAATCTTTCTCTGAGACCCTACAGAAGGCTTGTTTGTTTTGTTTTCATCAGCTCCCGACTGCAGTGGTCATTTGACTTGTTGATGCATTCAAACTATGAAAGGGTTATGGCAGTGTTTAGTAGGAACAGGGATTTAAAAATCTTAATAGTTCAATTCCCTCATTAAATAGGAAAAAAAAATCTATGAGACAGAAACAAGCCCCCTCCCCCACTCCCCCACCTCCATTTACTGATATTTTATGTCCTTGTGTTCCAAAATGTTGGGCTAATTGGCTGACTTCAGCTTTTTTTTTTTTGAAGATTTATTTATTATATATTCATGCAGAACTGGGGTACAAGTCAGAGGTGCAGGGGTGGTAAGAGGATTCACCAGAGAGAGTGGGGAGCAGAACAGACTGACTGAGAGGAGGGGAGCATCGGGTGGGCCGGGAGAGGTCTGCCACGCCATGGGGGTCACCTCTGGGGCCGGGGATTGGACTCTCACTGGAGCGGCTGCGGCTAGCTTGCAGTGCTGTGTCCTAACCTGTTGTGCCACCAGGGAGGGCCCTGACTTCTGCATTTTTCTTTTTTAGATTTATTTATTTATGCATACAGAAATGGGGTATAAACCAGAGGTGCAGGGGCAGTGGGAGGGTTCACCAGAGACAGAGTGGGGAGCAGAACAGGCAGGTCAATAACGTACACTGCTGAGGGGAGCAGCGGGCGAGACAGGAGAGGTCTGCTGTGCCATGTGGGCCAGCTCCAGGGCCTGGGATCAAAAGGCTAAGGCTAAGGCGGCTGTGGCTAGCTTCTTATGCTGTGTTTTAACCCCTTGCACCACCAGGGAGGGCCCCCTTCAACTACTTTAAAATGAAGTAATATGAAGACCTAAACAGACTTTTTTGTTTAATAATAAACAGACTTTTTTGTTTAATAATATAATAGTTTATTTTTATACCACTTTGTGCCATTTCCCTTCTCAGTTGTGACTTCTGCATTTTTTATTAGAATGTTTAATGTCACCACAGCCCTTGGGTTGCAGGACTATCCATGACTCAGGAAGCCACTGCCGCCGTTGCTTTTTGAATCAGACAGCATGACCTCTCCCCCCTGCCCCCCCGCAACGAAGCCCTAAATTTATTTGATTGTCTCTCTTATTTTTTGTTAGGTTTTTTACAGGAATCATGAACCTCGGAAGGTGAGCTCAGAAAGGAAGCCTCGGGAACCTGGCCAGGGGCACACGTTGTCTGGGTGAAGGGAATGCAAAACACTTGGAAACCTGTGGGAAGAGAAAACCTCTGTCTGTGCACACACTTTGCACCTCCTGCTCACACCACCCCCTTACCTCCCCAACACAAGTCTTCTTACAAAGGTGCTTCAAATGACTCAGCTCCCCTAGGT